AGCTAATAAAACTTTAGTTATATGAATAAAATTTAAAACTTCCAGGACACAGTTGCCTATATGTGATAGTATTTCCATGCTGTGTTTTGACAAAACACCAGATATGGCTCCAGAGAGTTCTGTGGCTGTGGAGTCCTTAACCTCAAACTGTCAGAATAGCATCATTCAGATGTTATCCAACCAGAGGCCAAGAGGGATACTCCTAAGTATTCATTGCTGACTCTATTTTTGGGGGAGGTGGGGAAGTATTTCTGCTCAGACATGGTAGAACATGCCTGTGATTTCAATACTTTAAAGTCAGAGTTGGGAAAATTGCAAATTCAAAGCCAGATTGCAACACATAGCAAGATCCATCTTCTTTGTTTTTTGTTTTGTTTTGTTTTATGACAGGCTTTTATTATGTAGCTCTGACTGTTCTGGAACTCACTATGTAGACCAAGGTGGACTCAAACTCAGAGATCTGCCTGCCTCTGCCACTACCATCCAGCAGCTAGACTCATCTTAGAGCTACAGTCAAACATCAAAAATCAGGGAGGGAGAAGACATAACATTTCAAGGACTAAGTATCAGGATTGGGTGTAGGAGGTGGGAAAGCCCCTGTCTAGTCTAGCATTGTCCAGGACTCAGACATGTGTGTGTGTGACTGTGTGCATGGGCAAAGTGTTGGGGATGTGTCTGAGGGAAGCCCCATTCATTGTAGTAAGCACTCCACCACTGGACCACACCCTAGCCCTTCAGGTGTGTTTGTAGTCATCAGAGCAAAGGGTAGGGCTCCCTAGAGGAAGAGAAGGAGCGGTCCTGTGTGGCTTGCTGTCCTTGTTATCTTGCACAGAGGCACCTCTCCATCCCCAGAGCCACAGGGGCTGAGAGGTTTCCCTGATAAAGGCTGAACAATAGATACAATAAACCTATGAAACACCTGTGTCTTTGGAGACTTAGCTGTGACCTGGAGAAGCTACACTGTAAATAAAGGGTCTGGGAAAGTCTCTGTTCTGACTGGTAAAGGTCCTCCTCTCTGGCCCAACTCCAACATGGCTTGAAAGCCCTGGTACTCAGCTCTAGGTGCTCAGACAGGAGATTGGAGACCCTTCCTGGAGGAAATGACGAGAAAGAAAGAAAGAAAGAAAGAAAGAAAGAAAGAAAGAACAAAAAAACACTTGGGGCTGAGAAAATTACTCGTCAGTGTAGTGTTTACTATGCAAGTTCAAAGACCTGAGTTCAAATCCCCAGAAACCATGAAGAAAGCCAGACACTTGTAATCACATTTCTGGGTAGGCAAAGACAGGAGGAGCCCTAGAATTTACTTAGCCCAGCCCCAAAGTCCTTCTGTTCATCTTAAGCACCTGCCTGCCCTTTGAATTGGGAAATAGAAGTCCATTCTCTTAGCCATAGTTTCCTCATTTGCAAAATGGGAATGAAGCAGCAGTGCTGGGCCTCACTATCATTCTCTCACCGTGCATTCAAAATGTGGTCAAGAGGGCTGGGACGTCTTCAATTACAGCACATGCCCGTGGGAGCTGAGTCACATCATACACTTGAATGAAAGGACATTGCAACGGAGAACACACAAACAGCTACCCCAATCCAGCTGCCTCTATTTGGTCAGGTGCTAGCGTTTTCGAAAATATAAAACACCATTCTATGATTATTTAGTTTTGGAAAATGTTTTTTTTTTAACAATGAAGAATTAAAATTACGAAGCCAATCTTGGTGGTGCATGCCTTTAATCCAGGCACATGGGAGGCAGAGGCAGGAGGATCTGTGTGAGTACAAGGCCAGCCTCGTCTACAGAGAAAGTTCCAGGACAACCTCCAAAGCAATACAGAGAAACCCTGTTTTGAAAAATCAAAAAAGCAAAGAAAAAAAGAAAAACGCCAACCTAAACAAATTAAAATTACAGCTCCAATGACACTAATTGCTACGAAGCAGGATATAATGGGTTATTGTTTAATGAATTAATGGAAATGTTAAAGCCATCATGGTTTTAATTTGCAGTGCCGTAATTAGCAGTATTGGCAATCCACACTAACAAAAGCTTTTGGGGATTCTCTATAATTTATTAGATTTTTTTTTCCAGGGCTGAGGGCCGAACCCAGGGCCTTCTACCACTGAGCTAAATCCCCAACCCCTAATTTATTAGTTTTGAGATAAGTTTTCCTGTATCTCAGATGAGCCTCAAACTCAATCTGCAGCTAAGGATGACCTTGAACTTCGAATCCTCCTTCCTCTACCTCCCCAGTGTGTTGTGTGGCACCAAATCCAATTTTATGTGGTACTGGAGACTGAAGCCAGGTCTTCACATCTGGTAGGCAAACACCCACCCACTAAATTACATTCCTCCTGCCCCTCTCCACTTTTTGTCTTGACTTTGGTTTTGGGTGTGTGGTAGTTTGAATGTAACTAGCACCCACAAACTCATAGGGTATGGCATGATTAGGGGGTGTGGCTTTGTTGGAGTAAGTATGGCCTTGTTGATAGAAGTGTGTCATTATGGGGGTGGGCTTTGAGGTCTCCTTTGCTCAAGCGTCACTCAGTGTGACACTCAGATCACTTCCTCTTGCCTTTGGGATCAAGATGTAGTTCCTTCTTCTCTCTCAGTTCTTTCTCCAACACCATGTCTGCCTGCACACTGCCATGCCCCGCCATGATGATAATGGACTAAACCTCTGAAACTGTAATCCACTCAATTAAATGTTTTCCTTTATAAAGAATTGCCATGGTCATGGTGTCTTTTCACAGCAATACAAACTGTAGAAGAATATTCCACAACATTTCTCCTTTTTGTTTAAAAAGAAAGGGTTCTAACTTTAACATAATAAAGCTCATATAATAAGAAAAATTATCAAGTGGGGATTATATTTACAATATCCAATCCATTTGCATTTGTCAAACTTGGAGAAATCACTCTATTATCTAAACTGTTTCTTTTCTGTTTTGTTTTGTTTGTCCAGATAGGGTTTCTCTGTGTAGCTTTAGGGCCTGTCCTGAAACTCACTCTGTAGACCAGACTGACCTCAGACTCACAGAGACCCACCTGCCTCTACTCCCAAGTGTTGGGATTAAAGGCCTGCACCACCACCACCAGGCTCTGGCTAACTCTTTTATTCTTTTAACTTAAATTAACTTGTTTCTCTTTATCTACCTTTTGTCTCAGGGCTTCTTATGTTTTCTTTAAAGATTTATTTATTTACTATGTATACAGTATTCTGCCTGGATGCATGCTTCTTGTGTTTGCTGGTTGGTGGCTGACTGACTGCTTGCCCCAGGCATCTCCCTCATCCTCTCCTCCTTCTCTGTGCCTGCCAGAAATACCTATTCCTCTTCTGCCTAATTAAGCTTGTAGCCTGCTTTCTTACACCATCTGGGACAACATGAACAGGGGTGACATTGCCCACAGTGGTCTGGACCCTCCCATATAAATCATTAATCAATAAATGCCCCACAGGAGTCTCTACAAACTCTAATCTGATGAAAACACCTTCTCAATTGAGGTTCCCTTTCCTAGATGACTGTAGTTTATGCCACGTTCACAAAACACTAACCAGGACATGTTGAGACAGGGTCTCACTGAGCTTTGAGCTGGGATGGAAACCAGTAAGCCCTAGCTTGTAACCCTGGCCTCTGCCCTTCACAGCACAGGGTGTTTCATGTCCTTTTTTTTTTTTTTGAGACAGGGTTTCACTGTGTAGTCCTACCAGTCCTGAAACCCACTTGGTAGACCAGGCTGGCCTCAAACTCATCGATCTGCCTGCCTCTGCCTCCTGAGTGCTGGGATTAAAGGTATGTACCACTCCACTACTGCCAGGCTCATGTCTGGCCTTAAAAAAAAAAAAAAATTAAATGTGGATGGTGGGGTTTGAACTCAAGTCTTTATGTTTGGACAGCAAGCAATCTTAAAGGTGGACCCATCTCCTCACCCCCCCACTTTCCATTACTTTTTCAGAACATCTCTTGTATTCCTGGCTGGCCTCAAGCTAGCTATGTAGCATAGATGGGTCTTAAGCTCTTAGCCATCCGGCTTCTATTTTATTCTATGAGTGCTTTGTCTGCATGTATGTATGTGCATTAGGAGTGTGCGCCTGGTATTGCAGAGGTCAGAAGATGAGGTCGGGTACCCGGAACTCTAGTCATGGATAGTTCTGAGCCACCACGTTGGTGCTAGGAACTAAACCCTGACGCTTTTAACCACTGAGCCATTTCTCCAGTCCCCGATTTTTAACCCTTATTTCATCATCATGCACGCATTGCCTTTATTTAATAATGAACAATTAAAACCAAAATTATACTTTTAAAAACAATTCTCATTACATTTATTTATGTCTGTGTGTGCGCCCACGGACTGCGTCCTGCGCCCTCTTCCACCTGGTGGCTTCTGGGGATGAAACTCAGATCGGCAGGCTTGGTGGCAAATGCCGTTCTTTATCCGCTGAACCATCCGCGGGACCTCCCCAAATTATATTTTTAATTATTAGATATATATGGGAAAGTGAAGTAGGCACCAGGCAAGTACTGTTAGTTGACACCTACACGCCACACCACAAACAAAAGCTTTGCTCGCCTTCGTTGGTCACCCACACTCAGATTCACTTCAATTTGGTTCCGCTGAACTCAGTCCCGCCCCTCCAAGTCCCGCCCAGCACTCCCTGAAGGCCCCACCCTTTACGCTACT